TTTTTTTTTTTTTTTTTTTTTTTTTTTTTGTATTAGAACATTGGTCTTGAGCTTAATCCGTTATTTGGGCTCTGTACTGAAGCTGTTACTGTACTTGGGGGTACTGTCTCATGGAGACTAGTAATGACTATAGATTTTTGTCCAAGATTTTATTTTCTGTGGAGCAAATACAGTATGGCAACTTCCCTACATTCTTCTGTGATGTTTTTTCCCTCATTGCCATAATTTCAATATCTTGAACATCCTCTGGCAGTCAAAATATTTCTRCTGGTATTTCTTAGGAGTATAGTTTATGCTGTTTGGAAGATGTAAAAGCTATTTTGGAGTATCTCCCAAGCCTCACAGCCAGGGTGATTATGGGTGGCAAGGTATGTGGGAGAAAATGGGCAGGTAGGACATGATAGACGTGGCATTCTGTCATGAAGTGGTAGAATATTTGAAAGAAAGATGCTCTTTCTATCCCAGAGAGCCTGTCTTATTGCACTGTGCTGTGGCCTGGCCTTCTGTTGAACACTGCTCAATACTAATCACACCCTCAAGGAGAAGAGGRGATTTCTGGTCTGAAAACATACCAACAGATATTTTGGCTAAGACAGAAACCCAGCTGTCAACTCTACCACTTGCTTCTATAATTAAATAACCAAAGTGAAAGTTRTCTTGTTTGGTCAGGAATGAAGCAGCTCCTAGGTGGGAACAGGAGAGGGAATCAGAAGTGTCAGCGCTTTCTGCAGCACAACAGTCACAAGAACAGGAGGAGGAAGAGATTGAAATATTAAATGAGAATGTAAAGACCTGATTCCTATACCRAGGTGATTTGTGAGATAGCAAAAAAGATTTTTTTTTTTCAGTTTCCTGCAAAATGTCTAGTAAAATCTTAGTAAAATCACTTTATTACTTTATGTACTGTTTTATTGTCTGTGCTACAAGTGGTCTTGGACTGGCAACCATGATTCTTCCTGCACGGACTAAAATTAATTCTGTATTTTAAAATAATTTCCTGTAAAAATATTTTCTTTACTTAAATATACTCAGTTTTTTTTTTTTGTTTGTTTTTTTGTTTTTTGTTTTTTAAATCTAGGGAACATGAATGGTTTAAGCAGGACCTTCCAAAATACTTGTTTCCTGAAGACCCATCATATAGTTCTACCATGATTGATGATGAAGCCTTAAAAGAAGTGTGTGAGAAGTTCGAATGCACTGAAGAGGAAGTGCTAAGCTGTCTGTACAGCAGAAATCATCAGGACCCATTAGCTGTTGCTTATCACCTCATTATAGATAATAGAAGAATAATGAATGAGGCCAAAGACTTCTACTTGGCTACAAGTCCACCGGATTCTTTCCTGGATGATCACCACCTGTCTCGCCCTCACCCTGAACGAGTGCCATTCTTAGTAGCTGAAGCACCTCGTCCTCGCCATACTCTGGATGAGCTGAATCCACAGAAGTCCAAACACCAAGGTGTGAGACGGGCTAAATGGCACCTGGGAATACGGAGTCAGAGCCGACCAAATGATATCATGGCTGAAGTTTGTCGAGCAATTAAACAATTGGATTATGAATGGAAGGTAATGAAATAGAGGACCTCTATAGCAAATAACAAAGCATTTTTATTTGAGCTGTGTAGTTACATAGCCCAGAGATCTGATAATGTTTTTATGTTCTGAAATTAATCTCATGTATCTGTGCTGTCTGTTTACTGTACCAGAAGGGTTTTGGGGGAGAAGTGTACATGCTGACAGGAGAAAAAAGTCCTGCGCAAGGTTTTTATTGGAGCTGTAGGAATATTTTTCGGTTGGCTAAAAAACCCTCCAACGACCCTCAAATCCAACCTGAAATCACTTGATAAAATACTAGTGAGCTGAAATGATAAAAACAGTATGCAGTGATTTTCAAGCAGTTCTGGTTAACTGACTCAAATCTCTTCTGTACTAGGTTGTAAATCCATATTATCTGCGTGTTCGGAGGAAGAATCCAGTAACAAGTGCATATTCCAAAATGAGTCTACAGTTGTATCAGGTGGACAGCAGAACATACTTACTGGACTTCCGTAGTATTGATGGTATGTGAAGAATTGCTTAAGATAATTAAATTGTATGGGAAATCATTCTACATGCAAGCATGTCTTTATTTACTTATTTAGAAGTGAACTAAGTGTTGTTCTTTTTTATTTTAAAGCAATCTAATTTTTAGTAGTGTTTCTTTTTTCTTCCTGGTCTAGTGTTCCTGTGAGAGATGCTTAGCTGCTGCATCCCTTAAATGATTGCTTTTAGCTACCACCAGCTCCTGAAGAGCTCCGTTTTGTGTCTGAATCAGAGCTAATAACGGTAGTGCAAAAGGAGACRGGACTGTTAAAGTTGAGATTAGGATCAACTTAAACTGGTATTGGAGCCTCATCCCAAATTTAAACATTAATTTAGGTCTGGAGTAACTCAAGAAGCAAGTCCTGTGAACAGTATTTTCTAGTGAAGATAAAGCTTGACATGTAGGCATTTAAATTTTAATTGGACTGTACTTTTCTGTATACTGGGTCTGAGATGGAGTTAATTTTCTTTATAGCAGCCTGCATGGGGCTGTTTTGGACCTGTGACTAAGCAGTATTGATAATACACAAGCGTTGCTGAGCAGCACTGGCATAGTATCTACTATTTCTTCTTCCACACCATCATTGGTTAGAGGGGAGCAACAGCTCTGCAGAGCTGAGCCAAATAGAACAAAGAGACATTCAGTATCGTATTAAGTTACACCTAGCAAAGAAAGGTGTTTTGGGTWAGGTAACTTTGAAGCTGGCTGGGCATCAGTCTGCTTTGGAGATAGTGAGTAAYTGCCTTTGCATCACTTCCCCCTCTTACGTAAAATGTTTTTATTTCTACCCATGAGTTTTCTCACTTTTACCCTTCCAGTTTTCTTCCCCATTGCACTGAGGTATCAGCCGTGAGGCAGAGTCAACCCACCAGTTCTAATGGTAGTTAAAATTTGAGGTAGAAATTGTATGCTTGCAGGAGCTAAAGTCTTGAAAGCATTTAGTTTTATCAGTCACATCTGACAGTGTGACGCTAACATAGTATGCAAAACCTGATTGCATGAAATGAACAGAGAAGTTAACAGAGATTGACCACAGTGATCATTTATGGACATAGTAGACTAAAGCAAAATTATCTACAGCCAGTGATGTAGATGACGTGCCTAGGAAAACATTGCATGGAAAAAAGGTTCGTTTGGGTTTTTTTGACTGCTTAGAGCCCTGCTGATGGGGGAGGGCAGCCTGCTACAATCCTGGTTTTGACTTTTGAGGAAATAAAACCCAAGGGCACGGATTTGTCGTGTCTCTTCCAACAGTTAAAATGATTTGATATTCCTTCTCTCCACCACAGTTAACTGTTCTCTGTTTCTTTTTAACAATTTGTAATTTAAGTAATTTTGTGTAAACAGAGAGATTGCCTTTTCACTCATTTCTCCTGAAATAACTTTTCAGGAGCCAGCTTAGAGCCAAGTTAATGTTCAGTATTTAAAATAAGGATAGAGATGCTTCAGCAGAACACTACTATTTTCTCCTCATACTGAAGATAAACATAAACTGTTGCCTCCCAAATGTACAAAATTCTAAGGTGAAAAGCTTGCAAAAGAGAAGAATAAATTAATGCAGATGCTAACAATTATAATGTACTAATGAATTTTCATAAAAATACAAATAATAACAATGTATAAACACCCAAAAGAGAATGAAAATAGAATAAAAATAAAAGTAGATGCTAGAAAAAAAATSTACAAACTGCTATTGAACTTAATCTTACGATGCTGACCTGTTTTTGTTTTGAGTAACCTTGATTGAACAATTAGCTGCTGAAATGAGTTAATGAAAAATACAGTGCTGGTCTAAACTAGATGTAAGTAGTTATGGAGTACAGKACACACTACAGAGAGAATTAGCATAAGAACACTAGCTTCTGTGCTAATATGTATATAAGCTTTGATTTTATATCAGATACAGTTTGCAAAACCTGTTTCTTTATTAATATTTTAAAATATSTGATTTAGAAGTGTGAGAAGGGAGAAGATATTTGTTCTTCTTAGAACCAATTTGATACTGATACCAAATTTTCCTCCTCTCTTCCCTTTTCCCCAGATGAGATCACTGAAGCGAAGTCTGGGACTGCAACTCCACAGAGATCAGGTTCTGTGAGCAACTACAGATCTTGTCAAAAAGATTCTGATGCTGATGCTCAAGGAAAATCTGCAGATACATCCCTTACCTCATCAGTGAACTCTTCGCTTGATTCTTCTACAGCTGATGTAACTCCAAGACCAGGGAGTCATACAATAGAGTTTTTTGAGATGTGTGCAAATCTTATTAAAATACTTGCACAATAATTTTGAAGATGGGCTTATTTCTTTTACAGCAATAAGCATGCCTAAATCATAGTCAGATGCTTCCAATTATAATCAAGTTAAATTAACTTTAAGGCGCTGAAAAAGCTAGCCACAAAATGCAACTTGCATGGGGATTAAAATTACTATGGACAGTTAACATATATTACTTTGAAGCTGGAGTGAATTCTCGTTGCCTGCTGTCCAATAGYATAACACAGCTATAGGAAATAATATGGCCTTTGGGTAGTGTTTGTAACATTTTACCTTGAGTGCAAAATAGGCTGCCTATAACATTTAAGCTAGATGGACCTCCTTGTTCTTTTCTTTGTTTATACATATATCTGATGCACTGTGAGTAAACCTACACGTACTAGTTTAGTGATCTCAGTATGACTTGTTGGTCATCCTCTACACCTGTGACTCAGAACTATCKCTCAGCAGTAATGTGTTAAAACTGCTTTATTTCTTTCCCTTATTTGACAGTAAATAATAAAGAATACTTTGCATTGCGATGTACTACTTTTAACAAAAAATGGTATTAAATGCCTGCAAATCCAGCCAGTTGGTAATGCATGTATGTGCTCTGTAATACACTGAAAGTRAAAATTCTAGGGGCAGTGAGTAAAATGATTGAGTCTGTAACAATGTTGAGAGACTTAATGCTGAGAAAACTTGGTGTCCCATGGGTTAAACCATGTTGCTTGTGGAGAAAATGTGAGGWAGCTCCTCATCTGTGCAGTAGAAGCCCGTCATGCTTCTACTGTGGTAGAAGCACAGCAGCTCCCCACTGCTACTGTAGGCTGAGAATCCTTGTCCTTAGAAACATGTCCCTGTAGTTAAGAGCGAAGCCTGAGGGCTGTTTCTTACTGTTCCAGAATCTGAAATTGACCGTTTTTAACATAATATATTAATACTTTGATACAGCTAGTTATACTATATAATATTCAATTGAAGTGAAAACKACATACAGAGGTTTCTAGTTTTTCCAAGGCCACCTTTATAGAAGACTTYGCTGTTTACTGTAACTGTGAATGAAACAGCCTAATTTTTCAGTTGATCATGACAAATGCTAATATTGAAAAAGTTTTCAATAGTAGATTGGAATTACCCGGACTAAAAATYCTTCCGTACTTAGGGTTTTGGTAGCATTTCTGGAAAGAAATTGAACCTTATATGTTAAAATCACAGGTACTACTTGTATGAAAACCTTAGGTCCCTTGTAAATGGACATAATTAACCATGGTTTCATTTTCATGTAGCACTTAGTAAACATAAACAGTCATAAAATGCTTCGTTTTGCATTCATGACTGAATATTTGCTTCAAAATAATCTTGATGACCTACATAGTTTCAAAGGTTGCTCCTCCAGGAAGAGGCTGGAAATCCAGGCATTGCTATGAACAGTGAAACCTGGACTGTTCACGTGGATGGAAATTCTTGCCAATGGCTGAGATTTTATCCATGTGAAACTGCTAGCTAAGATAGAAGAAGAGTTTAAATCCTGGCCAGCTGGCCTCAGTCCAGAAATTCACATTCACAGATATCTGAARAAACATAAAGCTGCTTTTAAGCCCCAAAAATGCTGTAASTGTGTTCTGAACTRGGTGATTGTGAGGTCTGTCTAGTRGGCAGTACAAATTACGACTTCATTTCTTTATCCTTAAGTGTCACAGATAGTCCCTGTAGGGACATTGGCTGTATCACTGTACCTTAAAGTGGAAGATTTTCCAAAGTGAAAGTTATTGGAAATTTAAACCCAAAACTCTTAAGATGCCAACATGAGGGACCAGCTGCAAATCCTACAACAAAGTCCTGTCTTTAGTCTTGTAAGAATTGGAACTGATGTACTGAATAAATCAATGTGTTTATTTTTGTTACCCTTTATTTTGAAATTATGAAGTATTGCACTTGTATAAACACTACAAACGCACAGGTTTTTAAAATGTAGTAATTCCTCWTCTGGAATTGATTTGGGATCACTTGCATATATGAAACTATTTATAAATGCTATCTGCTCCTTGTAATGCTGAYAATGCGTGCAAAGTGTAAAGATGCAAAATAGTTTTTAATTTTTATATACCTTTTCAGCCCTTTTGTGCATTAAGACAACCCTGGTTTGTCCTTAGTTTTGGTATCAGGAGGTTAAAGCAAGTTTCTGGCAGAAGTGTACAATATGTGTAGTTTTAAATAAAAGTACATTTTTATTGTTATGGTAGATCAATTTTGATGGCCAAAGGTTTTCTGACTGAACTGAGATTTTTATAAGGAGTGGGGGGGATAGGAAGAGGCACTAACAACATATAGTCAAACCCAGTTGCCTGTTGTGTGACTTTCCTGTGCTTTGTAGATCTTGCTGTTGAAATTGCTTTCTTCACGTGCTCCTATTGATCTTGCAGACCATTCTTTAGCATTGCACTAGAAGCTGCCAATAGGCTGTGAAATGAAACTTCACTAAGAGCTGCCGGAGTTGTAAGGCAGTTTATACAGGTACACAATCTGGCAGTGTGTTACTCTGTATTCCCAAGCTTACTCCTGTTGGAGTACAGTGAGTTACCTTGTCTTTGTATTGTAATTTTTTTCAGTAACATGGATAAACCTGGGCTGTCCATGTGCAATATAATTCACTAGGTAATGGATAAAAATTAATCTTGGTGGTGCAATATGAAATAAGACCCCTTTTGTGTTTGTCTTGATATGAGTGTTTAATACAAACTTTGAGCTAAATTTTATTTTACCAGTTGATTACCATTGTAAGAGACAAAGTCCTGTTCTTTAACAAAGATGTGCCTACTTCCTGTTAATTTCTTTTGACAAAGCTGAATGGCAAAAGTGCTTGTTTATAACTGTATAACTTTTTAAACTTTCAAAACTAAAAACTAAGTAAACATGAAATACTGAACCATCTTGTTTGAAACTGTGTCCATGCTGTTTTCTAGTGTTATATATTTTATAAGTAGACAATTGTTAAGCTTGTTTTAAAAGCAGCAATTACAACTTTAGAGCACATAGTAACATGAGAAATTACAGCAGAGTTCYGAGCTCGGCAGGCTGGTACACCAGCTGTGCTCGCCTGACCCGACTGACCCTTTCCCCCTACATCCTGTAAACGGTTTTGCTGCAGGAAAGGAATTTGAGACARACACCGAGCACGCTGTAAAAGCAATCTTTTGGCCCCCTCGTCTCACATCTTAATTCAGCCTTTCCCTCGCACCACGGATGAGCTTTTCTCTTGATACGGGTCCCTCTAAGACGGGAACAGTTTTAAGCTCTGCAGCCTGTCTTCTTTTTATTGTTGAG